GCTAGGAGCTGGAACCAACTTCCAAGGGAAGTGGTGCTGGCCCCTACCCTGGGGGTCTTTAAGAAGAGGCTGGATGCCTACCTGGCTGGACTCGTTTGAGTCCCATTTCTCTTTTTGGGGTTTTTTGTTGTTCTCCCGCCCTGGCGGGGGGGTCGGGCTAGAAGATCTACTAGGTCCCTTCCGACCCTTAATCTATGAATCTATGCTCTAACTCCTTCTCCTCTTGTTTCTTGTCCTCAAACAAATGACCTTATGTGCCTGTATCCCAGCATGGAAAGGCCCTCTAATGAAGGCAGGTTTAGCCCCTCTGTGACTAGTAGCTGTGTCTCAGGTGATGGGTTTGATCCAAGGTAAACCAATGATACTTTGAAGATTACCTAAAGGCCAGCAGGCACCACAGTATACAGGGAGACCAGCTGGAGCAAGGGAGGACACCTGGAGAAAGCAAGAAGGGTTTTGCAGGAAATATTTATGGTCAGGAAAAAGGATCTAGAAAGGCACTCTGTACACCAGGTAGGCAGGAGATTGGGATGGAGATACCCACTGTGTGGAAAGGGACAGAAAGCAGCCTTCTGTAGCTCACAGCATAATTTCCATCCTATTTGCTTCTCTCCCATCTACGAAGCATAACGCAACATCAGTGTAACTGATGGCATCTGGACATAAAGCCTAGGGTCAGGGAAGGGAAATTCTACCTACCTGACAAACTCCTCATTGACTCAGTACCATCGCATTCATTCTGATGTGCATAGTTATTTAACGTGTACCTAGTATTTCTGGAGCACAAAAAGAGAGAATTCTGAAGCTCCTCTCATTAGTAATTACCATAACAGGTAACTTCCTCGTCAGTTTTTAGCACGTTACAAATGAGGATGAATTTCGTGAACACTGGCACATACCTATGCCTATGTAGCAGAAAAAAAATGTGGGCGAGTGGCTCCTCTGCAGCCAGCCTACCCACCATCATGGCAAGAAGCCCGCAGGCTGTGTGTTTGATACCCCTGCCTTAAATCAATGGATGATCCAGACTACAAAAGGGAGGCTGGGTGAGGCAGAATGAGCCAAATCAGATTTTCTCAAGAGGGCTTTTTCAAGAATCATCAAAATTAAACAAAAGAGAGACTTTTAAAAAAATTATTTCCCAACCTACTAAATCACCCCCACACCCTGTACAACTGTTTTGGTTAGGGGTGCACCGATATGAGATTTTTTGGGCCAATACCGATCCAATTGCTGATATGAGGCCCAGCAGCCTGGACAGCAGCATCCAGCTGGTAAGT